ACCCTTGCCCAGAGCCAGCTGGGGCCAGTGTGATTGCTTTTGAGTCAGGCTAGGCTTATATCTAGACTCCAGCCCTTCTGGTTCCTTTGTATTTTTGGTTAAATCCAGCACTCTGAAACATAATTTTCGTATTTGTAAAGTGGGGATGTTAATTCCTGTCTCATCAGGGTGTTGGCACAATTCAAAGGGAAAGAAGGTGTAACACTCCTTGGCACCGGCCTCACTCCTGGCTGGAGGTCAACAAAAGCCCCTTCTACTCCTCTGTCCCTTGATTTACTACTGTAAAAGTCCAGGCACGAGATGGGAAGATCAAGTTCAGCTGGAGCACCTTAGCAAGACCTTGTCTCAAAAAGGCTTGGCGTACAGCTCAGCATTCCCAGACTCAGCCCCCAGTACCAGAACAAGCACACAAAATGACCACAACGATAAACAAAACAAAAGTCCCCCAGCCCCTGGACCCAGACGAGGCTGGTGCTGGCGCATTGGTCATGGGTAATGAATAGTTCTGCCTCATGACTCCTTTAGTCTGTGAAACACGCATTCAACAGTCATCATTGTTACCCTAGGTATTCATACATTAGATGAATATATTTCTAATTTTCCAAGACCCTCATCTCCTTTTCCACACGTAGCTTTGTTCTCACAGATAATGTGAAATGACAGCTGTTTACTTGTGCAATAAACATGTTTCTTAAAGGAAATGCTCTTTCCTCACTTGGCATCCTGTTCAGTTATTGTCTGTAAAAGAAAGCAACCCTTTACAAAACGATGGTAACAGAAGGGACCTGAATTCGGGTCGTGCAGCAAACCAGTGACAGCTTCCCTGGTGTGTTTTCAGGGATGTCACCAACAGTCCCCCAAGGAACCCCCAACCGTTTCCCTACAGTCTAGTTCTTCCCTCTCCAGAGACTAAGTCACAAGCAGGAATTCTTTACGAGGAGAGGCGATGAGCAGTCTGGCCCTGCTGTTTTCCCACCTTCTCCAGCAAACCCCACAGATCCCTGTTTTGCTGTCCTCCCACCCTGGCCTGCGCCTTTCGCTTTGCACACACAGTGACAGTGACAAGCTCCAGCTTCCTGCTCGTCACTGCCAGCCCTCCCCCTTCCCTTAATTAAAAGCAAATACCTCTTTGCAATGCAGATGGCTTCTCTGTCAGTCACCAGGAGCACAGTGGCCTCGCTGAGATGCTCCATTTCTAATTGAATGCCCCACTCCCCAGGCCTCCGGGTCTCTCATTAATCAGTTACACACACAGGAAAGGTGAAGCTTAATGAGGTGTGTGTCAGGCACTCTGACATAAGGCTGCTTGGCTCGATAAATGTGTGGCTCCACATGTTAATTATTTGACATTCAGCATTTTGTGGTCCTCATAATGTCAGTTTGTGATAATTTCACTAAGTACAAAGATAGCTCATCTGATATCAAGACAAAGGCTCTCAGCAATAGGAACAGATAACCCCGTAGAGTGAGGATGCAGTGATCAGGATGGCATTGGCTCTGCCCCACTTGGTGAGCAGGAAAAGAGACCTGGAGTGCCGCCCATCCCCAGGTGAGCTGCCAAACGAGGTTCCAGTACTGCAGGCCATGGGCTGGTCTATGCGAGGTCACACAGCAGCACTGCAGCCCAGGAAAGGCACTGTGCTTCTGCTTTTTTACCAGGAAAATGTGAACAGTGACAGGCCCTGCCTCATAGGCTGTGAGAGTCGAGTGTGTTGGTACACAGTGGAGTGTACAGCAACATCTGGGATATTTAATTGCTTAGAAAACGCTGTTTTTGTGTTTATGGGCTTCTGTCTGCTACTCGACAGTGTCAAATGTCAACAGAACCGAATGTTCAGGAAGAACAGATTCAGGTGCTCTTTCTGGCAAAAGGATGGGTTTCTTTTACTTTTCCTGTGAAGACCTTAGGGCTAAGAGCTTGGAGGCTTCAAAGTGCAGCTCATCTCTAAAGCATCAGCTGGTCTGTGAAGTGTGTACAGCAGAGCAGACCTCAGTGAAGAGCAGCAGTGGGAAAACTGAAACAACTGAGCCCAAACCTTCCACTGCCAATCAGAGGTGCTTGGTGAACAGTGCTTCCGTTGCAACCTCGAAGGGAAGACCTAAGGCAGTTGCCTAGGACCAGGGCAAAATCAAAACAAACTGATATTAATGACACAGGAGACGAAGCCTCTCCAAGTTCAAGTGGATCAGCCAGCAATTTAACTGCTTACTAGAATGAAGCTCAGCTTGCTTTGGGGCTTCTGCACAGCGTCTAATGTATATTAAAAGTTATTAGCCATATGAGGAAGTAGAAATGTGTGATGCATACTCAAGAAAGATTAGTCAAACAGTGAACTCCAGGATGTTCCCTATAGGAAAAATCAGATAAGGACCACAGGGCAACTTTAAGATCAAAGACTTAAAGGCAAAGATGGTCATATTGAATGAACACGTGGAGAACTGCAGCAGATAAATGAAAATCAATCATAATATGCAAGTGCAAATTCTAGAACTGGAGAGTATAATATCAGAAATAAAAAACCTATAAGATGAGTTTATCAACAGTTTGGAAATGGTAGAAGAAAGGTTAGGTTGACTTAAATATGGATTAGGAGAAATTATTCAATGTGGGAATTAGAGATAATGCTCTGTGACTTGTGGAGCAGTAATAAGTAAATTGTATGCAACAGGAAAGACAGCACAGGTCAAAATATGTTTTTTTGGGGGGAAATAGCCCCAATTCTCTAAATTTGGTTTAAAACATATATTTTTAGGCTCAGTGCATATAGCAAGCCACAAGCAGAACAAATACAACAAACAACAGACAAGAGTGCCTAGCCATATAATAGTTGAACTGGTAAAAAGCAAAATAAAGAGATAACCTTAGAAACATTCTGAGAATAATGACACATTACAGGTAGGAGATAAATAATTCAAATGTCTGGGAACATTTTCTTAGAAATAATGGAAGTCAGAAGACAATGGAATGATGCTGAGGATATGATATGCCACCTCTGAATTCCTTACTGGCAAAAATATCCCTAAAAAGTAAAGGCAATGTGAAGGAAATCTAAGAGAAATGAATTGAAGCTGAGGAAATTTGCTATCACCAAACTTGCACAAGAAGAAATGCTAAAGGAAGTCCTTCAGTTGAAAGGGAAAGGACATTGGGTGGAGAGGTGGGTTGGCTGAGAGGGATGGAGAGCTCTGAAATGCTAAACCAGAGATACACATTGCAGAGGGCATTCTACTGTGGTGTCTGTAACACTTCTAGGTGGAAAATGTGTGATGATAAAAGCTTAAAGGACGGGAATAATAAATGCATGATATTGTTGCCAGGATCTCCCACTTTGTGTAAAATGGTACAACGTTGATGCCACAGAACCACCAAGTTAAGAATGACTCTCAAAAATCCATGGGACAACCACTGAGAAATAAAGGACACAGCATTGCTCAAAAGACAAAGGATATAGTTACATGAAATAACAACAACAAAAAAGCGGAATTAAAAGAATGCCGGAAAAGGGAAATAGAATAAGAAAACCAACAGATTATAAACAGCAAAATGATAGCATAACTATACGAATGATTGCATTTAATATAAACACAGCAAACACTTCAATTAAATGGCATATATTGTCAGACTAAATAAGAAAAAAACAAAAAAGCAATTAAAAGAATGCCGGAAAAGGGAAATAGAATAAGAAAACCAACAGATTATAAACAGCAAAATGATAGCATAACTATACGAATGATTGCATTTAATATAAACACAGCAAACACTTCAATTAAATGGCATATATTGTCAGACTAAATAAGAAAAAAACCAACTACATGCTATGGGAAAGGTACTTTATAAAGACACAGATACATTTAAAATAAGAGTATAAAAACATATGACAGTAAACCTAAAGAAAGCTAATGTGGCTACATTAATTTCAGACCAGGTAGATTTCAAGACAAGGATTATTATCCAGAGACAAAAAGGAACATTTTATAATGGAAAAGTGATCAGGAAGGCAGCATCCTAAGCATGGCTGTGTCTCACAAAGGTGCCTCGGCATAGAAGAGGCAAAGCTGACAGACCTGTTGAGAGGAAAACAGCCATCCACACAGCAGTAAGGTCTGGCACTGTCAGTCATCGACAGAGCAATTACAGAAGGAAAAGTCAGTAAGAAAACAAAAAGACAAGCCACAGAATGAGAGAACACACTCACAACATGCATGTCTGACAGAGATTTGCATCCAGAGGGCAATAAGAGCTCTCACGAATCACATCACCAAGGATCCCATCAAAGGCAGGCAAATGACATGAACAGACATTTCACCAAAGGAAGTTATGCAAGGGGCCCAAAGCACACGAAAACAGCAGCTATGCATGAAGATGGAATGCTGGTGGGGCCCCCATGGGCTCAAATCCTTCATGATTATCGAGAGAACAAAAGAGAGTGGGAATGTCCCAGATGCTGCAGCGACAGAATCACATGTTAAGGGGAGAAATCCCGTTGTGGTCACTTGTTTTGATATGCTGCATTAGTGTGCGGGAGAAGCGTCCATTCTTATCAGTGGGTCACACCCATAACTGTTCCATTTCTCACCACCACCCACTCTACAGGACCCCAGGAAGCAGACCTGTGGGCTCCACCACAATCCCCAAGGAACGGAGCTCTGCAGTTCACACCAATGAGAAATACAAAAACCTGTAAATATCAGATGCAGACTATTACAGCGAGGTGAGCTGAGGAAAGAAATGGTGGATTTAATTTTCAACAAGACATACCCGGGCTACGAAGTTTCCTGTGGCCAGAGTAGGCAGGTCTGGGTGGCATGGAAGGATATTTATGCAAAAAAAGAAGCTTTTTCTGAGTGCAGTATGTCCAGCCAGATGGGATGCAGAATTCATTTGCAGGAGGACCCAGTGGGGAGGTTTAAGCGCTTCCTGACCTTAAAGAGGTGTTTGCAGGAACTGATGTGATGTGAAAGCAGGAGGAGAATGGGAAACCAAGAAACTCTGTAAGTACCTTGAAGACGACATGCAGCATCATCTGAAGCCCACTCTTGCCAGGGTACTTCCCGGCGATGTTGGCTGCGGACAGGTTGAAGAGGTTGGCTCCCGTTTCAGTGCAGATGGCGTGGACCAGCATTTTCTTCCCCACCCCGGATGGCCCGGCCAGCAGGAGCGACTTCACCAATGGGGCTTTCTCATGCACTGCTGCAGAGCCTGAAAAGGGCAGGGGCACAGCTCTAAGATCCCGCAGAAAAGCCTGCATGTCTCACGTGGGGACATCCCAGACTGCAAGGGCACTGTGGAACCCCAGCACTGCCACCGAGGAAGGCATGGAGTGCACGTCCAGCTATGGTACCCCTTGCACTCCCGTGGGCTCCCTGATCCTCTAATTTGTAAGTCAGGGCCATGGTGGGGCTCCAGGGTCTTTGTGATCCCTCAACACATTCTCCCCTCCCACTCTTTCTTTGTACTTCTTTCAAATTCACACGTTTAAAAGAGCATTAGGGGGATAACTATCCACTTCTGGCTTTTTCTTTCTTTCTTTTCTTTTTTTTTTTTTGAGAGCAACATTAAATCTTCTGAAATGTTCAGAAAGGAATGGAGACACACTGGTGATAAGGGGCTGGAAGTGTTTATTTCCAGAACCCTCTTTCTAGCATGTAGTGATGTTCGTGAGATAAGGGGAAGGCCACAATCCAGGCGGAGAACGGCCAGGACTTCGGTCCCCCACCTTTGCTTCTGGACTGTCTAGCGGAGCTGGTCTGATTCTTGGTGATAAGGTGAGCTGAGCTGGAGTCAATCAGAGGTCTCACCTTTCACTCTCAAGCGCATAGCTCTCCACTCATGTCCTTAGTCTCTGATGCAGAGAACACAGGCAGAGCTCTCCTGGGCACTAGGTAATTGATAGGTGGGCTACATTCAGTCCTGGCCAGCATCACGGAGGAACCATCTACAATCATGTCAGTTTGCCTTTGATCAACTTCCAGGCTTTCTGTGATCAGCTGTTAAGATGCCAGTGTAATTGGTATCATTCTTTTCCTTTCTTTCTTGTATAACTGAAAAGATACAGGAAGTTTACAGGGCTTCCTTGGTTCACAAACTTCATTTGTCCCACGATTCCAGGGCAGGTGGCTGTGTTCATGTTTGTGTGGGGAAGGTGGCCACAGTTGTGCTCAGTACCCGATTCCCAGAAGCAAAATTATGAGGACTGCTTCTGTTTGCCAACCAAATTGTTTGCAAACAGAAGTGTTTGTGAACAGAGGCATTACAGTACTTGACAGTTGGAAATTGAATTTTGACAGTTATAAATCGCTCTCCATATAAACTTGGAAAACAGTTTTGAACAAGTTCTTTTTAGAGTGAGATCCAGTGAGCGTGCCTCATTAGTGGTCAGCAACAGCGTATGATGAGGAGACAGAAGCCAGAAGAGAGGAGCCACTCATCTATTACTGCTGGACAAAGTTGCTCCATCGCGGTGTCCCCACACTTTTCCCTCTGTGTCATGGTGTCCAGAGTCTGGCCACATTCGTGCAGGGTTTGTTCTGTGCTTGGTGTCTGGTGAACATGGGACATGCCCAGGGTTTCTATGTGGACCTGGTGTCATCAGGGCCAACGCAAGAGGCCGGTTACTGTCCATCCTTTCCCTCCACCTCGTCGCTTGCACCTGGCCAGCTGGGCCAGGCAGGGGTCCCTGATGCCAGCAGTAGCCCTGTTGGGCAGGCACGCACCTTGCAGGTCTCCGGTGGGATGTGGTTGAGCGAATGGTCTTTGGGGTGGGCACACAGGGCTCGGCCAAGCCACCACTCCTGAAGGCTGGGGTGGCAAGGCCCATGAGGTGGCAGAGAAGAGTGTCCATGTCCCAGCCTGGTGGGCCACGAGGTACCCAAGGACTCCTGGTTTTGCAGCTCAGGCACTGTCCTCCTCTCTGCCAATCTTCACTATGGAAGATTGCTTTGTATGGCCCCGACTGGGGGCCATGTGTGTTCGTGTGTCTGTGTGTGTGTGTGTGTGTGTGTGTGTGTGTGTGCGCGCGCGCACGTGCGCACCTGCACAAATAAAAATGATCTGATATTTGCTGCCAAGAGTTTACAGTCAGAGGGGAGCTGAGGCCCTGTTACAGGAGGCAAATGGTGCTCAGCTCTGTGAGCCACATGATCTTACAGGAGAACTGGAGTCAGCGGGGTGCAGTGCTTATAACTGTTGCTGTGGTTCTCTGGGAGAGACTGGAGTGCTCTAGCTCTTAGCACCTGCCTTCTCCAGCTTTCAGAGGACTGCAGAGTAGGAGAGGGCCAGGTTCTGGGTGCTGAGCCCAGATTTGCCCCTTCCTGGTCCTCACCATCTCGGAGATACTTACCAATCTATAAGAGCCGGACAGTGTCCGCCTGCCCGGCTCTGGTGGGAAATGGGACCATGGGTGTGAATCTCCAAAGAAAAGGCCAGAGATTTGCTGCCAGGAGTTCAAAGCTGGCCCTCCTGCCTCTCCTCCTGATCTTCTGGGCCCAGATGGACACATCCCGGGATTTCTCTGCCTGCCACGGGACGTTGGGCCCTCCAGCCTGGTCCTGGGACCTGAGGTCCTGGGGTGGGGCTGTCTCCTGGCCAGGTGTGGAAAATGACCGTGTGGGCCTGTGAGAAGGCTCAGGTTTGTCAGAGCCCCAGAAGAAAGCCACGCTCCTTTCTGTGCTGGACTCCACCCTGACACGGGAGGTCCTCCCTCATACACTGCAGGAAGGCAAGCACAGCGCAGGGACAGTGCCCACGGGGCTGCCGTCACCGTCCAGGTCATCTCGGTCTGGGCTGGCACCTACAGGCGCTCCTGTGTGCACAGTCCCCCTCCTGATTGTTTCTGCACTCTGGACGGATGCGGAGGAACACAGGTCCTCGGCTGGAGAACCAGTGCTGGCAGCTGCAGGACACAGCAGGTTCTGTTACAAAGGCAGCCCCTCCCAGTGGCTCCCAGAGGCTCTCTGGTCAGGTGGGACGCACACAGCTCCTGCCAGGAAGTACAGGCCAGGTGTGGGTGCCACGCCCGGGCTGAGCGGCTCTGCTGCCCCCCCAGGGGGTGTGGTTCGTCCATACCAACTTACTCTGTCCCCCAAACATGGCGCTTATTTATATTACACAGCCGGCTGGCTGGCTGTGTATAAGTGTTCCACCCAAACCCCACTTGCTGTTTCCCACACGAGCTTAGAAGAGGATTCAGGCATTTCTTGCAAACAGCTTTCAGTTCTTAGGTGAAAGTGGGACGGTGTTAAAAGTGCTTACACGACCCCGTCTCATTTGAAAGCATGTGAAACAGTGACTTCTCTCTTCCTTCCTGTCTCCCTCCCTCCTGTCTTTCTTCCTCTTCCTTTTCTGTCTCTCTCTTTCTGTCTCTGTCTCTTTCTCTCTCATTTTTTTCTTTCAGTGCTGGGGATTGAGTCCAGGGCCTTTGCACAGAACTACACCCCCAGCCCTTCTCTATTTTTTATTTTAAGACAGGGTCTTGCTAAATCACTAAGTTTTCCAGGCTGGGCTCAAACTTTTGATCCTCCTGCCTCAGCTACCCAAGTGCTGGGATTACAGGTGCGCCCCACCAGGCCCAGCTCAAGGGCAAATTTCTGTTTTACTGGCTATGGCAAACAGCAGTGGGGCACTGTCCCTGCTTGGCTGGTTCGGGTCACACAGGGACTGAAGCCACAGACCGGAGAGCCACCTTTCCCACGGTACTGGGCACACCTCCAGGTTTGGTCTAGGATGGCGGACTGCAGAGAAGTCTGGCAGACCCGGGACCCAGACACAGAGGTCACATGTGTGGAGGAGGTGCAAGGCTCCCTGACTTTCTCTGGCCTGGGCCCAAAGACAGCGCAGATGCTGCCCCGCCATCCCCTTTGGAGCCCGGGAACACACTACCCACACAAAGCCAGCGAGGCCGGGGATTTGGCTCAGTGGTGCCACCGCCTGCCTTGCAAGCCCAAGGTCCTGAGTTCGATCCCTGGTACCCCCTCCAAAAACAAGAATTACTGGCAGGAAAAGTCAAGCTGGTGACAAACAGGAGCCCAGCATGAAAGGCAGCCGGCGGCACCGCCCCTGTGTGGGCCAGGAGCTCAGCTCACCTAGCGGCAGGATCCCATAGAGTGTGATGAGCTGCCGCACATCCAGAAGCGAGGGCATGGGCTCTAAGGACATGTGGCGCAGCGTGGTCCCCAGGTAGCTGTATTCGCCTGTGGAGGAAGGAGCCCCAGGGTCAGTGGATGGGAAACCGTGCCGGAGCCCGAGTTCAGCATTCTCCGGTCCTAGGGCACAGTTATGGAGAGCCCTTGTAAACAGCACATCTTTTCTCAGAAAAAAAGGTTTGAGGAAAATTCAGGCAGGAAAGTGTGGCTGTACTAGCTATAGTATCCGGGAATTATGTTGACTATTATGTTAGCCTAATTCTTTTGCTGTCTTTTTTTTTTTTTTTTTTTTTTTTTTTTTT